GTGTTGAATACTCACCAAGGTTACATTTATTTTATCAAAAATACAGTGAATTATAAGTAAAAATTTACAGTTTTATTACAATCTAAAATAACTTTTCCATTTGAAATTTTTTTTTTATTGTAATTTATTCCTGTGATGCTAAGCTGAATTTTCAGCATCATTACTCCAGTCTTCAGTGTCACATGATCCTTCAGAAATCATCATTTGATGCTCAAGAAACATTTCTGATTATTATGAATGTTGAAAAGTGTTGTGCTTATTATTTTTGTGGAACCTGTGATATAATTTTTTCAGGATTCTTTGAGGAAAGAAAGTTTAAAAGAACAACATTTATTTGAAATATAAATATTTTGTAACACTATAAATGCCTTTACTGTCACTTTTGATCAATTTAATGCATCTTTGGTGAAAAAAGTACTAATTTCTTAAAATATATATTATTGACTGCAAACTTGAATAGTAGTGTGTTTTGTATATATATATATATACTGTATATTGCTTGTTTTAAATGCACAGTGGTGTGGCAGGTACAAACATCTTTTGCGTTTGTGGTGTATGTAAGTTCATAAACTCCACAAAGATCTTCTTGCATGACAGAGTATGTAGTGACACTGACTTTAAGTTAAAAATATATATTAAAAAAAATAGTACCACATCATAATAACTTGCGCTGCCTCTGAAATTACTTTAATTTTCGACTAACATCATGAATGCCTCTTACTTTATTAACCCCCTCCAACCATCGAGCACCATTTTTGCTATGTAATGATTACTTGTCGCTCTCTAATTAATCCCCGATGGATAAAAAGTCCCTGTGTTTCTTTCAATCATGAAATATCCTGTTTCACTCAGAAAAGTGTCACATTACAGAAGTAAAATGGGTTGCTAATGGCGTCTCATTCAGATCTATTAGCATAAAGCGCTAGCTCTTCTCATAACAATACTCTCTGATTTACTGTTGTCATAAAGAGACCCAGGGCCAATTAGATTTGTCTAGGTCATGTTCATGGATGGGTAATTTGCCAATGTGCCTCTAAAGGCTGACTGGATGTCTTTTTCTCTCCTCCATGACTTAATCAAGCTTCAAAGTTAATTTGATGTCAATCATAACCTCAGATATCAGACTCGCTCCAAGTCTGCTGGCACGCGAAAAGCCACAGCTGGGGCCCTATCCGATCGTGCCAAACCTGCAGCCGGTTACTACTGAGAAACCGAGTAATCTTGCTTAATCAATGCTAATGTCTACAGGATATCTAATATGGGTTTTAGTTACCTTAGCGAGGCTGCAGTGTTACTTTTACAGGAGATTTTTGAATCTGAGATTCTGACGCACGTGGTGCAAGATCAGGCTGGAAATTATGCAAATATACAATGAATATGATTGGACGAAATGAACAGTGTTGGGAAGGTTACTTTGGAAATGTAATAGGTTACAGATTACAAGTTACCCTATTTAAAATGTAATAATTAGTGTAACTATTTCAATTACTTTATTAAAGTAATGTAACGGATTACATTTGATAACATTTTTGATTAGGCTGCTTCTCTAAATTTCTAACGAATGTTTTCAATTGTTAATCAGTTAATCAACTCTAATGGTGTGTTCACACCAGACGCAAATGTAATTATTCGCGCGAGATTACATACAAAGTCAACTCAAAGACGCGAAAAGAAGCGAATTCGCGCCGGGCGACGCGAATGATGCGAAATGCGCGACGCGTTTGCCGCGAACGCACAATATTCGCCTCAATCGCGTCTTCCACGCAAGTTCAAAAATTTCAACTCGAGCGGAAAATTCGCATGACGCGTTCTCGCGTAAGCCAATCAGCGAAGAGCTTCTTGACATGTCCAGTTGAATCAGACAATAGAAGAGAGCATTATTGTAGCCGCTGTTATTTTATAGGTCTGGAGAATAGAAAACAATTAAAATCAAAAAGTTGTAGTGGTAGTTGTATTTTATTAGCATGGCTACAGAGATGCTGCTATCAATAATAAAAAATAATAGTAATATCAGTGTATGCAGTAGTAAAATGTAACACACACATTAATACAGGATCCTAACATTATTCATCCTCCTCTGGATGGTGCTGTGAACCCAGACACGTCGGCGTTTGGCTTTCCATTGTATTTGGGACTTTTTGACAACAGGCACAAAACAGCGATTGTAGTTATCTCCACCATGGTT